AAGTCTCTTCATTGTTTATCTTGTTTTGTTCTTTTTAATTATCAAGACATGTTTTGATAATATTAAAAAATATATTATTTTTGTTATTATTATTATTAAATTCAAGAATTATACAAATTTATAAGATTTGGATAGTTGAAGAAATACTCTTGACTCTACTCTAGAACCTTTCAAACATTTTATTTTTAGAAAATAATTTTTCAAATTTAGTTTCAAAACATGCAACCAAAGAATATCAGAATAATACACATATAAAATGAAGGCAATTGATTATTTTTTGTATTCATTTATTGTTCTCTTATTCTTTTGAATTCTAGCTAAACGGATTTATGTATATAGAGTAATAAAATCTCTTTACTAAATTTAATCTAAGTACTAAATTTAATCTAAGACTCAGTTTTTGTCTCAGTATATTTACAAAAAGAATAATAACTTTTATTAGAATAACCCCCTAAATAAGAGTCTAATCCTAATTGAGTCTACAGCCAAATCTTCTTTTTGATAAAACAGTAAATATGACTAATAATTTATTCAATTGATAGCAAAATACTCTTCATTTTTATGTCTGTATTTTCTTACGACAATCATAATAGCGAATATAATAATAAGACTACAAATCAGTCCAACAAGAGCAACAATACATCCAATAGAAACCCAAAACTCAGTTCCATACATTTCACTTGATTCTTCAAATAAACTAGAGTCATCAAATAAACTAGAGTCATCAAAAGCATTAACAAAAGCAAGTAAACAATAAAGAAGGATAAATGTATTCATTTAGAACAATCTAAAAATTTTGATAGATAAGATCTTTCATAATATTTATGTTTTGTATTTTAGTTAAAAAGGTTAATACAAAAATCTATTAATTAGAAATTTCTTATTTTATATTTTCATTCTGGGTTAGGGTTTGAATAGTCTTGCTCATCACATAAAACATTGTATCAAAACCATAATTTAAATCATTTTTGGGCAATTCTATTCAGACAAACTTTTTTTAAAAAGACTTTATATTATCATACTGAATTATTGTTATTAGAATTGTGCATAATTCAATAACATACAAATAAAAGATTATTTAATAACACTAACCCATTACCTTATATTAGAAAATGTTATTGAAACTTTTTATAACGTTACTTTTCAATTTATGTCTTAAATTTCTATTTAAGAAGATAATTTTTTATGAGAAAGAAAAAATAAATTCAGTGGGAATTTTTTTTTTAAACAAAAAAGATTAATTTAACAAAAGATGTTATAGAATTAATGTTAAGTGTTGTTCAAAAATTCAGAATCTGTCATCAATCCAAAAGTAAAAGAAGCATTAATATTCTTAAATTCTCAATTAATAAAGAAAATTAAAAAATACTTTTAATATAGTTATTTTTATTTTTTTTTAAATTTTAATTCCTTTGAATAATCTATTTTTAAATAATCAAGAACTAAAAAAGTAAGTTCATCGAGTATGAGCGTTGAAACAAAAGAAATTTCACAAACAGCAATGGCTCTAGTTTTAGGTATTCAACATCAAGTAAAATATTATTTAAGTAAAGTTCATGTAAGTGATAATGATTTTGAGAAATATAAAGGAAAGACATTACCTGAATTAAAGAATGAAAAATATATTTTTAAGACATACCCATTCACTAAATTCACTAAAAAAGGAGGAAAAGATATTTGTGGTCAAAAAGACAATGAAATGACAACACCAAAAGAAGTAGGAGAATATGTAGCTAAAGAATATTCACCAATGGCGTTTGCAATTGTTAGGAGATTTTTTGGATTAACTCCAGAATCAATGATTGAATCAATTTGTGGAGAAGGGAATTTAACACCACCTAATCTAGGATCAGGAAAGAGTGGGTCATTGTTTATGTTTACAAAAGATCATAAATTTGTTATTAAAGTTATTCCAAAAAGAGAAGAAAAGATTTTATGTAAAATTTTTCCATTATACTTCTCTTATATTCAAGAAAATCCACAGACTCTTATTCCTAGGTTTTATGGTATGTTTAGAATCAAACCACAAAAAGATGAGGAATATCGTTACGTTGTTATGAATAATCTATTTCCTAATGATAACTTCCCTCTTCAATATAAATTTGATTTAAAAGGTTCTATGTATGGTCGAAAGGCTAACGAGAAAGAAAGAAGTAAAAAGTCTCCTTGTTTTAAAGACCTCGATTTTGTAGAACAAAAAGCTGAAATACATATCGGACCAAAACTTCTTCAACCTTTTAAAGAACAGGTGGAAAAAGATAGTGGGCTAATGGCTAAAATGCATCTTATTGATTATAGTATGCTTGTTGGTGTTCATAATTTAACTGAAGAAGAATTAGAAGTTGCATGTAAAAAACTTGGTATTGAAGTAAATAAAACAAAAAAAGAAAAAGTTATAGAAAATGATAAAGAAAGAAAACATGATGAAAAAGAAGAAGATAAAGATCAAATAATAAATACAAACGATAATATTATAGGAGAACCAGCTCAAAAACAGGAAGAAAGTGGAAGTAATGAAACTGAAGAAAAAGAATCTAAACAAGAAGAATCTAAACAAGAAGAATCTAAACAAACAACTGAAATGGAGTCAAAAGAGGAATCAAAGAAAAGTGAATCATCAGTAGCTCTAAGTTCAATTACATCAACACAATCAGTGAGCAAAAACGAAGCAACAGAAACATCATCAACCAAAAGTATAGAAACTACAAAGTCAACAAAAGAAGAGTTAAAGCAAGTAGTTAAACGACCTAGGGCATCTACAGTATTTACAGAACAAAGAGTTGATAAAAACTTAACCAATAAAGATTCAGCCTCATTAACAAAAAATCGTAAAAAAAAAAGTGATAAAGTTGCTGATGCCCAAGAATTTTTACAGTCATTAGAAATACCTAAACCAGCAGACTTTATTTTTACTGATTATGAAGGGGGGTTACTTGCACGAAATAGTAAAGGAGAACTTACAGGTGAATTATATTATTTAGGAATAATAGATATTTTAATGGATTATACAGCGAGAAAAAAGTTAGAAACTGTAGTAAAAGGAGTTGCTGCAGGAGGAGCTGATCAAGTTTCTAGTGTTTCACCGAGTCACTATAGTCGCAGATTTATTAAATTTATTTTATCAAATACTAAATGAACTATTGATGAAGAAAAAAAGTAATTCAATTTATTCTTTTCACTTTTTGATTTAATAATCAAACTTCTCAAAGAGCTTCTCTCTATTATTAAAAAAGCCAGAAAAGTTTCATCTTTTTAGAAACTGTTTTTGGTTTATTCTTTTTCAAGAATAAAGTATCAAATGCAACACCAGCAAGACTTGTAACGGCTGCTGAATGGGCTGCTCTGGTACATCTATGAATTGAACCAGCATAAAAACCTTTAATACCTTTAGTAGCAGAAATATATTTAACTGATTGAATAAATCCCATTTCAGGATGTTGTTTCATAAAAGTGTTAATAATAAATGCTGGGTGGTTCATTAAATAACCAAATGCATTTCCAATAGCAGCAGTTCCTAATTGTGCCCATCCATTTGAAACAATACAACTTAATGCTTTTTGAACAGTTGGCTTAATTGATGAAGAAGTTTCTAATATTAATTCCATCATAGTAAATGGAATAATGTTTTGATAAACTGAACAAATTGGCCTTGGAATACTTGGAATTAATTTATGAGTAAAAAATGATAAAATATGTTCATATGGAAGAACAATAATAGGTGTTAATGTTCTAATCATCCAATTTCTTTTTTGTGTTTTTGGATAACCACATTGAAGAGCACGAGTAGTGGAATAGTATGGAATTAAATTATTTAAATTTTTTGGAAATGTTTTATAAACAATAGTTGGGTTCCAATTATATTTTTTGTGTGCTTCATGAGTTAAAAATGAATAATTAATAACTTGACCAAAGAAAGCTGATTCAATAGTAGTTTGGAATATCCCATAAAAAAATCCATATCCAGCACTCTTTTTCTCTGCTTTGAGACTTTCTGGAATACAATGAGATAAAGGTGTAAAAATTTGTTCAACAAGTTTATAAGGATCTTTGAACTCCATAGTATAAATCAATTTTACAGTTAAAATTTATTAGTTTTTGATTATTCACTTAAATATCAATTATTTGAACTTTTTCAATTTCCATTTTATGCATCTTTTTTTTGTCATTAAGTGTTATTTAAAAATACTTATACTATAATTATGTTATTAATAACAAAAATATATAATGTTATGAATAAAATCCAAACATTTGGTAAATGAAAAGATAAATAAATTATTCTTCGCTAGTAAGTCCAATAAATTCAGCAATATCACTTACTTTGTATGCAATAAAATCACAATACTCTTTCATTTTATCAATTGTTTTTCCATGACCTTCACTATATTGAACTCCAATTGATTTAACACCTTTGACTCGACTTGCCATTATTAATCCTTCTTTCATATCATCAACCATTACCATTTCTTCTGGTTTAAAACCATACTTCTTAATAAGTTGTTCAATTGGATAAGTATTAGGTTTAGAAAGTTCAGGATGTCCATGTTGATAACCAAAAATTTCGTCAGGAATAAATTCTCCGTTAGTAGCCTCACTATAATGTTTAAGAATAACTTCTTTAGAAGAAAAAGAAACAACAGCAACAATTCCCCCTTGTTCTTTAAAACGTTTAAGTAAATCAATAAAACCATCAAAAAATGGTGGTCGAGGTTTTTCAGAAATATAATTTTTCCAATAACTATGTTCAAATTGAAGCATCTCATCAGTTAGTCCAACTTGAGTTTTATAATATTCTATTAACCCAATATTCCACAACACTTCATACCACATTTCTATTGTAAGAATTGGTTTATCTGAATAATACTTTTTCATAAACTCAACATAACAAGGATAGTTAATAAGTTCTGTTGAATTAACAGCTGTATCATCATGATCTATCATTAAACATTTAATCTTCATTAATTATGATACTTTTTGGTACTAACTTTTTAGTTACTTCTTTTTTAAGTTTTGAATACCCTGGTTATTTTTGTCATAATTTTATTTCATAACCAATACATTTTTACTTATATAAATTTCAAATTAAATAATAGATGATGACTTATACGTCGGGCGGACTGAAAGATTATATGTAGATTCGACGTGTCTGATATTTTTTGATTTTCATTTTGATTGAAATAATCTAAAATCTTATATTCATTAATTTACTTAGAAATAAAGACAATGATTCTATTACTATTTTTTTCTATACAAATTATTTGGGCACGTTATCCTTGTTTTGATGGCATTTATGACTTTTCTTCTCTGATAAAACCAAAGTTCGATTCTGTCTTTCAATTTTCTTTATTCAAATTAACTTACTAATAGTGGTGAAACCTATAAATTTTATAAAAATAATACAATGTTATGGATTAATATTTGTGAACCTTTTACCTTTAATAATACTCGTTTATATAACGTAATTTTACAAGAAGGACAGAATGAACCAATTCCTTATTCTTTGGTTTCAACTCAAAGTATTTCAACAACAAAAGATCAAGTGACATTTAAATACAACCAACCTTTTAAATGGAGTCAATTTACAATAATAGAAGTTCATTGCTCAAAAGAAGGAGAAACAAAAGTTGAATCATTTACAATAGACAATTCTACTCTCTCTATGTTTGTTATTAAGTTAATAATTTTTTTTCTATACCAAATACTTATAGTTAAAGAAAAATGACATCTCCAATAGTATGTATATCAAAAAATGAGTCTCATGTTGTTGCTGTGATGTTTTTCTTTTTTATTTCATTAACAATTATTGGGGGAATTTCTCTTATTATTTTATATCTCCCTAACAAATATGAAGTAACAAAAAATGATTAAATCATAGTTTTCAAAACTTCCAGTTTTGGTTATCAAATTAAATGTAAACCATTAATTAAATTAAATTTCTTTCAATACAAAAACCTTTTTTTGAAAATTCAATATGAAAGACTTTTTCAGAAAAGAATTGAACCATCTTATAAATCCATCTCATGGAAGATCTACTCAATTTACTCCTTGGAACAGAATCAAATAATTCAAATAATTCAGATAATCCTAATGAAGAAGTATTTCGAGCTTTTGTTCCATCATTATTATTACCAGTATTTTTAATGGTGTTTATTCCATCTAATTTTTTAATCTTTCAACATCTTTTTAATTATCATCAAGGGTTTATTCAAAAATTTTATGTTAGACTCCTCTTTATGATTCCTATTAATGCTATTGTGTCATATTGCCAACTTTTTGTTAGATATAGGTATATTGTTTTCTTACAATTAGCAAGAGATTTCTATGAAGTTTATGTTGTTTTAACATTTTATTTCTTATTATTGTCTAGTTGTGGAGAAGCTCCTTGCTTAACTAGATGTGTTTCTCATTTAATTCCACGAGTTAATCGTTTATGTTGTTGTAATGTTCCTGTTCCTGGTGTTAAAAAAATGTTATTAATAACAAAGATATGTGTTTATCAATTTGCTATTCAAAAGCCCATTCTTTCCATTCTTAAAGCTGTTTTGGTTCAATTTAATTTATTAAGGGAAGCACCAAAAGTAGTTTTGAGATTATATGGGTTATTTAGTATGTTTGTTGCTTTATGGGTATTGTTATTCTTCTTTAGATGTATTTCAAAAGCAGTAGTTGCAGTAAGACCAGTTCAAATATTTTTATGGATTAAAGTTGCTATGTTCCTTAATTTAATACAAGAATTTATCATTGGATTAATAATTTCAAAGAATCCTGGAATTCAACATTTCCTTAATCTCTTTACAGGACTAGATCTTAAACCAGTAGATTATGAGTCACGTGTAGCTGGTATTGTGTTTTTAATTGAAATGATCTATTTGGACTGTGTCTCACCAGTAGTATTCCCATTAAAGAGTGTTGCAGTAGTACAAATTAAAGAAGTTGCTTTATATCTTGATAAAAAGAAAGAAGGAGAACCAGAACGAGGGTATTGGGGAAATTTCTTATTTGCTCTTAAAGATGTATTTACTTTTTGGAATTTTAAAGGAATGGGATGTCCACACGGATTATCAATTGATAGTTATTCAAATGCATTATTTGATAATTGAATACTTTAATCATTTCAATGATTTGTTGTTATAAAAATATCATATAATTACGTAAGGACTATGTGGAGAAAACAAATCGAAAAATACCAATTAAAGTATGAACAATATAATCGATTCTTTTTTTCTCTGATAAAAAGTGAATTTAAAGTAAAAGAGGAAGGTATTGCTTGTAATTAATATAATAATAAGTTCTACGTTTTAACTTAATATTCATTTAATTTTGATATGACTCAACCTACTTATTCTATGGATCATATCCATGTTGAAGGTGATAAACTTTACTTTGAGAATAAAACTAAATTATGGAATACAGACTGTTATATTACTCAAGAAGAGGTTAATAAAAAAACACCTTATGAAATGCTTAAAGCTCGTGTAGATAGATTTCCAGAAGAACCTGTCTTTGGGTATAGACATAAGACTAATGGAAGATTTGGTGATTATGAATGGATAAATGGACCACAGACTATTCAACTTGTTGATTCTGTTGCTGGTGGATTAGTTAATTTATTACATTTAAAGAAAGGAGATGCATGTGGTATTATGACAAGAAATAGATATGAATGGTATATTATTCAATTTGCTATGCAAAGACAAGGAATTATCTTAATCCCAATGTATGGAACATTTGGTATTGATGCGTTAGATTATATTGTCAAAAAATTAGAATTAAAGTACCTATTTTGTTCTCCAATAAGTAAAGGTATTGAACTTGCTGAAAAGAATCCTAGTTTAAAACTTGTTTCATTCGATAAATTAACTGAAAAAGAACTTGAAGATGTTCCATCAGATCTTAATATTCTTACTTATGAAGCAATTCTTAATTTTGGACAAAACCATCCAGTTGCTATTGACCTTCCTTCTATTGATGATACTTATTCTGTTATTTTTACTTCAGGAACATCAGGAAATCCTAAAGGTGTTGTTCATACCCATAGAACTATTAATAATGCTGTATGGTCCTTTTGTTCTTGTGGATATTTTGATAAAGATGTTGTTTTAAAAGGTAAAATTAATTATTCATATCTACCATCAGCTCATGTTTATGATCAACAAATTGTACTATCATTTGTATATGGATATGGTGCTGTTGGATTTAATTCTGGTGGAATTCCAACTCTTGTGGATGATTTCCAACATCTTCATCCAACTTTTCTTATTACCGTTCCTCGGGTACTTCAAAAAATTTATGACAAATTTATTGAAACTGTTAGTGCTTCTTGTATTGCAAATACTGTCTATAAAATTGCTTATTATTATAAGAGCCGCGCTGTACATGATAATACAACAACATTGATAAATTGGGATGCTATTATTTTCAATAAAATCAAAGAAATGTTAGGTGGTCAATTAGATGTTATTTTAAATGGATCTGCTCCTTTAACACAAGACCTCTTCCAATGGTTAAGAGTCTGTACTGGCGCAAAGATTTTCCAAGGGTATGGTTTAACTGAGTCATTTGGAGGATTCTGTACTGCTGCTCCAGGTCTTCATGATGATAACCATACGTCAGTTGGGTCACCTTGTATTGACTGTCATATGAGACTTGTTAGTATTCCTGATATGGATTATGATGTTCATGATGAAGAACCAACAGGAGAAATTCAAATTAAAGCGAAACAAATATTTAAGGAATATTATGGAGATGAAGCTATGACTAAAGCATCTTTTACTGATGATGGATATTTTTGTACTGGTGATGTAGGAAGAATTAATTATGATGGATCAATTAGTATTATTGATAGAAAAAAGAATTTATTTAAGTTAGCTCAAGGAGAGTATATTGCTGTTGAGCCATTAGAAAATTTGTATGGACTTTGCCCTTTACTTCAAAACGTGTTTATTTATGGAGAAAGTACAGACACTTTCATTGTTGGTATAATAGTTCCAGAGAAAAGTGAATTTATTAAGTTCCTTCAAACTCAATGTGAATATCATGGTAATTCTGACGAAGAACTTAAAAGCTTTGTTGAAAGAAAAGATGTTAGACAATGTGTTATGAAAGAGTTAGAAAATCATATTAGAAACAAAGGAGTTCCAGGCTATGAAGTTCTTAAAAATATTTATATTGAACTAACTCCATTTAGTGAGGCAAATAATTTACTAACCCCATCTTTTAAATTAAGAAGACCTCAAATCAAAAAGAAATATGCTGATATTTTAAATAAATTAAGAAATGAAGTGATCAACAATGAATTTTGAATCAAATAGTAAAAATATTTTGTTTCATTTTATTTAAGAAATTAAAAATAAAATATTTAAAAATATATTTTTGTTTTTTTTTTATGATATTTTTAAAAAAACAAATATATTTAATATTATCATCTATAATAACTTTTGCTTTAAATTAAGTTGAAAAAATTACTAGTAGTGATAAATAGAATGATGGATATAAAAAAATTGTACAACTTATTAAGAATGATTTGTCATATAAAACAAAATTATTTGTAATTCAACAAACAACAAATATAATCACAATAATATATAATACTAAGAAATGGAATAATGTTTTGAAAAGAAAATATAAATTTTTTTTTAAAAATATAATAGTAATATGATAATTTAAAATGAAGTTTAAAAAGTTTAAAATATAATAAATCAATAAACGAATATATTTGGCTTTAATACTCTATTTAAAAAAACTCTCCTAATTAATTAAGAAAAGGAAATTTTATGATAAAGAAAAAAATACTACCAATTTAATGATTTATTTTATTTATAATAGTATGTATAAGGTATCTTAAACATGTTATTGTTCATAAAAAATATATAAAATATAAATAATATAAAAGTAATAACATTTATCAATTTCTTCTATTTATCTTATTATTTATTACTGTATGAAATATAAAGAAAGAAAAAAAGTCTTTTTTAAATAAATTGAGAAAATGTCTAAGGATTACACACATCTCTTCATTTTGTGAGTTATTTTCAATTACCCCCCTATACATTTATTCAAATATCTCCTTAATTAACTTATCTAGTTTAATGAAAAAAATTCATAATAATGTATTACCTGTGTCTAGAATTCTTTGAATAAAAAATAAATTTATGTATTATACAGTAAAAACTCACATTCAAAAAAATACAAATAATGAATGGAGCAATACTAATTAAATTAACATGGTTATAAAACTAATTTAAATTATTGTGTCAAAGATCGTTCATAAAATAAAAAGTTATTTTTTATTTGTTTAGGTTTTGATGTAATTGTCATTACATGATGAGAAAAAGTTAAATACAATGAATAAGTAGTTGTACATAACTTTAACTTATATTGTTTCTTAAAAAATAGGAAATTAGTGAAGTAAATTTTCTTATTTCTTTCATATGAAGTAAAGGCAAAAAATAAAAGGCATGATAACTAACAGAATAATTATCAAAAACATTCAAAATTACATGAAATTGACAAAATCTAAAAGTATACATTTTAACTAAAAAAATTAGATTAAACCATAAAAACCTCAATTAGTATTATTTAAAAAGATAATGTAATAAGAAGTTGAATTCTGAATTAAATTTTTTCTGTATGAGTGTCAAAGTTCTTAAATATCCTCTATAGGAAAATACCTCTAAAACAAATTCCCTTTTTTTATTGGTTTTGATTAAGGTACTAAAAAAGTATTGGACCAACAATTTATTTCAATACAATTTTTTTTATCTATTGAGATATAAACAACATAATTCTTAATTCAACCAATTATTTATTAGAACATAAACATTTAATAAATATATATAAAAGATCTGAATTATTTGTAAGTTATTATTTAAGCTATACTCTTCTATTATTTATATCATTAATTCATCAAACTACCATAAAACATTGTATTTACATCATTTGAAGATTTTTTTTACTATTTATAATTGGATATAACTAAAGCCTTTTTATCAGCAAATGAAATTATTTTTTTCAAAGAGGTTTTAATCCATGATTAATTTTGGGTTATAAATGAAGCAAATAATGCTATAATAATATGTAATAACAGAACTTCTTCAGCATGCCATACAAACAATAAATGACTTTTAATATTCTTTTTTATTCTTTTATTTGGTTTACGGAAGGGATAAAACTACGATGAAATTAAGTTTTTAAAAGCAACAAAAAGGTCAAAAAGAAAGTTTTTGACTGTTAAGAATTCTTTAGAAGTCTTTAGAATTATGTTTCAACTTTTTTTACTAAAAAATGTCCTGTCGAACTTTATAAACTCGAGAAACTGTTTATTTTATCAGTAAGAGTACTATGTTTGAATTTGTTATGGATCAATATGCTACTCTCTCTGCATTATTTATTTTTGCATCACCTGCTGTATGGAATACCCTTGCTCATATAGAATATTTCACACATAAGATTTCACAATTGTTCCATGGAAATAAAGAAAATGGATTTAGATTTGTTATGTGTATTATTATTAGTATGCAAATCATCAGAAATATATTTTTCTATATTGCATGTACCAGTGCTGTTCCAATGATTCCAGCTATTGATTCATTCCTTAGTTCTATTCCAACTTTAGTTAATATTGTTGCTATTCCTATTCA